CAATAAGCTATTACAACTAGATGGTATCAGTATAGCACACAAACCAACTAAAGCTCTCCAAAATATCCTAAGTAGACCAAAAGACCAAGCAGGCCGGGATGGTGGTGGTGGACGGGATGGATGGACCCAGGAATCTTTTACAATATACACTGTAAAGTCTGCAACAGCCACCACGTAGGACAAACAGAAGACTAGCAGAACATATCCATGAACACAACTAGCAGTCAGAAGACATGATGAAAACTCTTTAATTTCACAACACCTGAACAGACAGACATAGCAATCAACACCCAGATGAGCATAGATTAACACCAGACCAACAATCAGGACGTAAACAATAGCCCAATCGAGGAACTGCCAAACAAGCTAACAATAAACAGCCCAACCAAATAACCACCAAGACCACTCCCATCAATACTGATTGGGCAAGTCACTAGAATATAAAGAGACAGCAAATCCCCCTCCTTAGTAACACTGATGATGTTACCTAATTTGGGTAATGAAATGCCTGCAAGAAAACAACCAAACTCTTGAGAATACCAAGAACCCAGAGTTTCAACCCTGAGCTACAAATATTGTCCTCTACTGGAAAATGAGAATTTAAGGTGCAACATATTTACGTTTTATATGACTATAGAATTTTGCGGTAGCTAAAATTATTTCTCACCCAGGGTACTTATTTTTATTTCAGCAGTAGTTACTATTCCCAGATTTGATGAAATGGGATAAGCTGTTTTGATATTTTCGGGATAAGGTTGCATACAGCACAAATTATTGCACCAGCAACAAATGAAAAGGTAGGTGCTTTCCACATGTCAGAATATATTATTATGAATGTTGTATCAAACAGTATAACTACTTTGTTGGTAGCTTTTTTTTTGTATAATAAGAACTATCACCTGTTTCTTGAAACTAAAGAAAAAAAACTTTAGTTGAGGCTGGATCAACTGTAGCATAGGTCCTCCACATATTTTGCTAAAATCATCACCATGCTGAGCCAGCGCGGGATTGCCTCGATCATTATGAACGCTGAGAGTCGTAGCACAACGTAACACTAATGGTTGTGGGCGACGGAAAATTTAGCTGTACGCTACTTAAGACAGTCCCAAGGTTGGGTAAGGCTACGCTTGGTGTATAAAGTCTGGCTGCTTTGCTTCTGTCCCAAGCTCCGAGGAAACGGATTAATTGAGCTCTTTTTCCCCAAGCTATTATCCAAAAGGTGGTTAAGCACGGCCACTTCGCCTTTCTCTCCTTCAGGGGGCGCTAATTACTCTGTTGGGAATAATTCTGAAACCCGTGCAGTCCCGTCGGAAATGGCTGCGAGAACCGGCCATCTTTGTAAAGGGCAGAAGAGATCGAGCGACCCGGATGTTATTTCTCTCCTTGAGCGAATGGTAGCGGAAACGGATAGGAGCAGGCCGCCTGCCTTCCTGTCGCCTGGCCCCCTTGTCTGGATTCAGAAGAAAGGAGCTGGCCGAGCGGAGAGATCATGGTGAGCGGGCAAAGGGCTAAGGCTGCCTTTGGGTCGCTGACTCGCATCTGCTCCTATCAGAGCAGGGCCGTTTCAGGGCAAGGATGTCATCGAAGTCGGGCAAGCGGGATCCCGGCCGTGGAAGAGGAACGGCAGCTTGGTGGGAAGAAACAGAGTCTTCCGGAGCCTTTTCCGAGTCCCCCGTCCCGTCCCCCCCATTAGTGGGGCCGGTCAGTGGGCTGACCAACGGTGGAAACTGGGCTCTTTTAAGTTTTGCAAAGAAAATGGGACCGATCGGATCTGTAGGATGAGACGATTTGTCAGTTGAGCCAGGCGGGCTTCTTTTCTTACCAGCCAATTTTAAAAGCTGGATAAAGAGGATTTTCCAAACCTTTATTATTATTATTTTTTTGCAAGCCCTTTTGTCGGGGGGGGGGGCAGAGACTCAACACAATTAGGCTTCCTTGAAATTTCACTCATCTTGTCGGGATAAAGATCTCGTGATCTCCATTTATCCCTAGAAAACGTATTTTAAGATTTTTCCATTGCTCCATTCAAATACTTGAAATGGTGCGATTTAAAGATCAGGATTTCCTACTGTTAGCTTATAATGGCCATGTCATTGTTAATTCTTTCTGTTTTCTCCTGGAAAATTCAGGATGAATTTTCGGACCCTGATTTGGCAGTTATGGGTGAAGAATCAAAATCTGAGAATGGAGAGAATGCTCCTGTCTATTGCATCTGTCGCAAACCTGATATCAATTGTTTCATGATGTGAGTATTGCTGGAAGGAATAAAAGAACTTGGTAATGGGGGCTCGCTCCTTCACAAACTTTATGAGGTTGCATTGAGGATGGCAGCCAGTGCAAAACTCTTTTGCCAGTATGATATGTATTGGTTTATTTCAGCAAGGTCTCCTGGGACATGTTCTTTTTAAAAATGAATAATTTTAATTATTATAAATGTTTTAAAAACTTCGTTCATTCTGGAGAATACTTTTCAACATAAAGATATCAATGGCAGATTAAAAGGGGAGGATGAAAAGGGCAAGAGAACAGGGTACAGTCAGAAGGAAAAATAAAGGCACTATTCTATTGAATGAAGTAATTGTGCAGGCAAATTACCCAATATTTCCCAAATATTTGGGGGAAAATAATTAGAAAAATACTAATTCGTTTAAATTGACTCAATTTTAAACATATATCCAGAGGTTAAAGCCTGTAAGAACCTGGAAAACATGGCAGATGATGCTTGGATCATACAAAGCATTGATACCGAAGAAGCTATTTCGTTCTGATAACTTGAAGGAATATTAATCAATAGCAAGTGAATATCATTAAATCCAAACAGTAGTTCTAAAACAAGGTTAAGGCAAGTGCACATAAAAAGTAGGATGAAAAATGTTAAATATCTTGTGAAGTTGTTATGGATTTAGGATAGGAGTCATCAGGAAAAGGCCACTATATGTGATGGAGCAGAGATGGGTAAAGTTTAAGGTGATAAGATTACTTTGTTTTGTTTTTACTTTTATTAATTTGACAGTGTCTGTAAGTTGCAGAATTGTGGTTTGTGGCTCATCTAAAATTAATGAACACAGTGCTTTGGATCCTATGCTTAGCCTGGGGATTTATTTTTAGGACCAGAAGTTTAACTTTTTTGACATTTCTGATTTTCCCTTCAAGTGTTCTTTTATGTGAGGAGCTTCAATCAGGATACAAAAAAGAGTCTTTGATGCTTAGATATTAGATATTGGAGAGGTAGAAGAAACTCTTGATCTTCCTGAGTTCATCTAAATATTTATTATTCAACTTTATCTCTTTAATTCACTCTTTTCCAATAAAAGATGCTGTGTTCTTAAGAGTTCCCTGTTATGCTCAGTTAGTTAGAGCCAGTTTGGATAAGACATCAGGCTGGAAACTGGGAGATCTTGAGTTCGAGTCTTGCTTTAATTGCAAAGCCAACTGGGTGACCATTGGCCAGTCACTTTCTCAGCCCTAGGACAGAGGCAGTAACAAAGCACTTCAGCATTGACTTGAAGGGATACATACAGTTATATACGTAAGCAGATGAGTTAGCTCTCTTGTACAGATTCTCAAATGGCAGAAGAAATTTGGTTAATGAACCTTTACTTTTTGCTCTCTCCAGTGGCTGTGATCACTGCAATGAATGGTTCCATGGCCACTGCATTAACATTACTGAGAAGATGGCGAAAGCAATTCGAGAATGGTACTGCATGCAGTGCCGAGGTAAGTTTGAAACCCTGTCTGACGTGTGTGTGTGTGTGTGTGTGTGTGTGTGAGAGAGAGAGAGAGAGAGAGAGAGAGAGTTTGAGAGTTTGAGAGTTTGTTTCTGTGCTAGAAACTTAGGGATTTCCCCTCAAAATTTATACTTAAAATCTCATGGCAAAGCATGCTTCAGTAATGAAGCTTCAATAATAAATTAAAAAGATAACCACCTTTTGATCTTTGATTCTATATAGCAAAGCTTTTTGTAAAATATAAAATATTTAAAGAATAATTGTTCTATATAATAAACAAGATTGACTAAATGCAGCCTAGCTTGAACTGGTAAAAGTGCAGTTTCCAGGGACAAGAGAGAGCCAGTTTGGTGTAGTGGTTCTGACCCAGAAACCAGGAGACAGTGAGGTCTAGGCCTCCCTTAGGCATGAAAGCTGGCTGGGTGACTT